GTTCCCATGTACCTTGTGATTGAAGTGCTTGAAACTCATGTGACATTGCTGTTCACCAATGCTTATGTTTCATTGCTTCAGTATATGAATTTGGATCTTGTGGCACAATTTGATGAGTAAGATTCATCATTGTTCTGGGTTTGAGATGCCCTGTTTTATATCTCATTTCCATTTGATGTCTTGAGCTTTGCTGTTGCTGCTTCGGAACAGTTGTGACTTGTTGTGTATTTTGACTGTAACTTGGAGTTGCTCTCTGATATGATTCATGGTTAGTTGATATTCTCATGTTTGACGATATCTCATGTGATTGGGATGAGGGTATCAAGCTAGTACAGGGTAATGGTTTATGATTTTTCGGTAGAGCTGCTGCTGGAACCAACAATAAAGGATGTATATGGGATTGAATTTTGGTTGGATTGATAGAGTTGTTTGTGGAGTTGTGTGTTGTTTGATAGGGAAATTCTTTTTCATTGAATATCACATGTCTGGATGTGTAAATTTTGCAAGTGATAGGATCTAAGCAGTGATATCCTTTTTGATTTCCTGTATATCCCACAAATACACAGGGTTTGGATAGAGGTTGAAGTTTGGATTTGATGTATGGTCGAAGCCAAGGGTAACACAAACATCCAAATACTTTTAATGAATCATATGATGGAACTTTGTTATACAGAACTTCATGAGGAGTTTTATTATGAAGTTTTGTAGTAGGTTGAATGTTGATAAGAAAAGCCGCTGTTTGAACAGCTTCAACCCACAAATTTGGTGGACTTTGGGACTGAATCAAAAGGCTGCGAGTAGTTTCCAATAAATGCCTATGTTTTCTTTCCGCTACCCCATTTTGAGCTGGTGTATGTGGGCAAGTATATTGATGTATAATACCCCACATTTTACACAGATGTTGAAACTTATTATTTATATATTCTCCTCCACCATCTGTATGTATTTTCTTGATATCTTTATTGAATTGACACCTTACCCAATTTCGGAATTCAATAAATTTTTGAAAAAACTTCTGATTTTTGGTGTAATGGAAATAACTAACAATATCTTGAATGATCATCAATGAATGAAACATAATATCGATAACCATGAATTGAATTTGTATGTGAAGGTCCCCATACATTAGAATGTATGAGTTCAAAGTTACACGATGTAGTAGAAAAAGAAATTGAGTAAGATAGACGTCTACTTTTTTCTACATTACATGTATTACATGCTCTTGTAGGTAAAGTAGTACAAATGCTAGGATGATATTTTGCAAGAATTTGAATTTTGTGGTTGTAAGGATGTCCTAATCTCATATGCCATAGATCAGTTATAGTTTGAGCTGAGTTCAATGCAAGAGATTGATTATTATGTTTAGGAATAGATTAGAGTCCGTTATGACTAGACCCCTGTAGTAGAATTCGATTGTTCTGGGCGTCCTTGATTTGATAACCATTCGATGAGAATGATATCGTGCAATTGTTGTCTCGGGTTAGTTTATGCATAGATAACAAATTGAATGATAGATTTGGAACATGATGAATATTGTTGAGTTTCAAATTACCTGATGGAGTAGGTAACAGTCCTTTGCCTGTATTTTGAATTGTCAATTGTTGGCCATTTCCCATCATCACTTGAGAATTGCCTGTATAAGCTTCAACTGCCATGAGTTGCAAAGCATCTGCTGTCAAGTGGGTTGATGCTCCACTATCTAAGTACCATTCATTTGTCTGATTTTCATCTGTAGGACTGAATAATGCAGATTTTGATGATTCTTGATATGAGGTATCATGTCGATACCAATATTTAACCGCTGAATGACCTGGTTTTGCACAGATTTGACAAATGATACTTCGATTAGATTGCTTCTTTGACTTTCCTGTAGTATTTCGACTATTATTATTATTTGTGACTCGTCCTCGGTAGTTATTGTTTCTACCTCGTCCATGACCCCGATATGCAGCTAGAGCCACAGTTTTATCTGAGATCTGCAGTAGCTGCATTTCTCGATTTGCTTCTTGAGTAAGAGTTAATTCTTCACTGCATAACAAAGTATACAATTCATCGGGATTTAATGGTTGTCTACTAGTTCTGATTGCCGTCTTGAATGGTTGATAAGTTGCAGGTAGTCCATTTAGCGTATGCAGTATGATATCTTCAAGATCCAGCTGACATCCTGCTGCTTCTATTGCATCGACTTTGGACTTGATACACAGTAAATACTGTGTCATTGACAATTCCCCTTTTGTAAGAAATTGTAATTCATTCTTTAACTGCATAATTCTTGATCTTGATGAATCTTGCAGTCGAAGAGATAAAGTGTTCCAAAGTTCTGTGCAATGATTCAACGACAGCACGTATGGAAGAATTGTCGATGAAATTACTGATAGTAAAGCTGCAGCTAGATTCTGATCTATCAGAATCTAAGTATCATACGTTGATTGTGTATTGTTGTTTGTTGTGTTCTATTTCGCCGGACATTTGCACGATCCATCAAGAAATCCCTTTAATCCATTCGCTGTGAATACTTTTTCCACCTGAGATCGCCAGATCGAAAAATTGTCGGAGGTAAGAGTAGAAGAAACTAAATTCTTGATGTTGCTGATCAAGAATTTTAGTTGAGAAGGTATTTGAACGAAATTTATGTGTTCGACACTGTCGACTGACGTAGGAGAAGACGTCGATCCTTCCATTTGATGATCGTAAAAAAAAAAATTCGATCACTTGTGCTCTGATACCATGTTGACTAGCCTAGATTCAAGAATCAGAAAGAAGAGGGAAGAGGAAATTTTATTATTTCATTCTATCTTATTACAGATGGTTACATCCTCTATTTATACTTGTGGCTAATCCCTCTGTTTTACACATTTCAGGTTGTCCAGCCTGTCATCGTTCGTCCAGGCTGTCATCGTCTTCCAACCTGTCTTCTTTGTTCTGTCCATCTTCAGCCGCTTTCTCCTTTTACTCGTTTCTTCTTGTCTAACAGAGATATGGCAGCAGCTGACAAACCAGCGAAAGTTCAATGACAGTCGATGGTCGGGAAGAGATCCGGTGGTGGTCGACAAACATACTAAAGTCTAGTAACAATATGTGGTCTGGAAGAGATTGGGCGGTGCTCAACGGCAAAGGAGCTACACAGATTTTCTTTTTTCTTCCCAACGAACCCCC